ATGGGGGGTGGTGGGAATGGGGGGAGCGGGGAATGTGGGGAGTTGGGAATGTGGGGAGTTGGGAATGTGGGGAGTTGGGAATGTTGGGAATGTGGAGATTGGAAAGTGGGGAAGCACCAGGGGAAGCACAAGGCTGCTGCTGCCCTGGCTGATGGGGTGCCCAGGCTGTGCTGGAGGGACAGGAATGGGATCTGGGAGCTTTTCCTGCCATGGTGTTGGATGGCAGAGTGACCTCTCCTCTCACAGGAATTAAGGACACGCCCCCTCCTCCAGGCTCGTTCTACTTTGTGTAATTCATTAATTCAGTCTATTTTATGGCAAATGAAAGTTAATGGTGATAAAGTGATTCGGATGCTCAAGGTTAAACCACATGGAATGGGCTCATAAAATAACACAAAGAATATTTTGTATTTCGTTACACACTTGCGTATTCTGGGGCCAGAATTTGAAATTAGCTTAAAATTGTGATGGAATCATCAATTGCTGAGAGGCCTGGTCCCACAAAACGAGACAAATAGAATTTAGGGAAAAGTTTTGGTAAAGTCAATGGAAAAACTCTGAGTTTTAGTGGAATCAGTAGCTCGGTCGTGGGATATAGGGTGAATTTAAAGAGAAGTCTGGTGCTGCATGGATGACGGGATGGTTTGGGTTGGGAAGGACTTTTGAAGACCATCCAGTTCCATGTTTCCCTGGGCCAGGCCGCTGAGAGCCCTGCAAGGCAGAGTGTCCCAAGCCCCTGAGCTCTGCTGGGCTCAGCAGTGTGCTGTTCATGTTCAGCATGGCCCCAGGAGGAGACCCCAGAGCTCCTGGAGCCCAGCCGTTCTGCCATTGCCACAGCCCTGTCCCAAAGCAGCCCCATGTTTCCATCAAAGCTCGATGCAAACCAAACGTTCCTCTCCACAGGCAGATCCTGGCGGCCGCCAAGAGGGCGGATCAGGTGGGACATTTCCTGTGGGTGGGCTCGGACACCTGGGGCTCCAAGGTGAGCCCGCTGCTGCAGCAGGAGGACGTGGCCGAGGGAGCCATCACCATCCTGCCCAAGAGAGCCACCATCGAGGGTAAGAGCCTGTCCTGGCCCTCCTCCCGAGGGTTTGGGGATAAACCTGGGGACACAAGCAGTGTCAGCTGTTTGGGATTGGTCTCCTGGTCTCTCCCTGCGTGTCCGTGTTCCTCCCGTGGGAGCTCGGGGCTGTTTCCAGCTGCTTGTCAGAGCCCTGATTTCAGAGCTTGGGAGGATGGCACAGGGCTTTATCCCTGGAAAGAAAACCCCAGCTGATCTGAAGCTCTCACACGTACAGGGGAAGGGGAATCTTGTGGGTTCCTCTCTGAAGCAGAGAAGTTTTCTACTGAAGAACTAAAAGTTCATTTTTCAATCAGTGGTTTCCATTTAAACTCAGTTTCACTTTTATTTCAGATCAAGCACTGTATTTATCCATATTGCTTGTGTGCTTCAGAAATATCCACACTTGTACAGATGCGTGCATATGGTGAATTTTGGGAAACTTGTTTTGCTAAATCCCTTTGTTTCTCAGCTTCCCTTGTGCTCTGAAGTGTTTGCTGTCTGATCTCACCTCAATTTGTTAATCCTGTTGTGGGTAAAGGTGCTTTAGCATCCTCATGGCTTTCTCTGGGCACCAGAGAGCTTGGTCAGGGTCTGTGTTCTCTGGAATACGGAGGGAAAGTTGTTTCCAGTTGTTTCACTGAGCAGAGACACCCAACTCCTCTGCTGGCCCGGTCCTCCAGCACACTGCCCACACTGAAATCGGTTCTGATGTCTTTGCTCCCTGCAAAACCAAATATTTGCATTTTTCCTGTGCCTGCACTCCCTGCTCATCAGTTATTCCTCTCAGGTAGATCATCTGCTCCATTCTTTTACATTTTTAACCCCCTGAGGCACTCTTGGATGTTATTTCTCCGTAAATACAGAAAGTTGACAGACAATGAAGTGGTTTGTTTCAGAAAACCAGGATATTTTAATAAGCTTTTCACACTGTCTGTATTCATCCCTGAGGGTTTTTGACACAGAAACGAAAATTTTGTCAACAGTACACAGAAACAAAAACTTTCCACGTTTGTTTGTTTTGAAATATTTTCCTTTTACGTTGCACATTAAACCCCTCACGGGAAGCACGAGGGGGTTCTGGATGCAGTGAGTGAGGATGGCAGAGTGGGAGAGCTCAGGTGGAGAAAGTCAGTTAAATTAGAGTTATGAATATCAGTGTATTTGGTGCATTTACAAAAACAAATTGTGTTTATTGAGCCTGCAGAACTGTCCTTGTTCAGTGACTCTGTTGGAGAGCTGCATTCTGCTCCCGTGGCCACCTTGGCTGGGGGATTGCTGTGCTGCCCAAATTACATTTAAATCAAACACACAAATGTGTGTAGAGGTGTCCTCCAGGAGCAGCCAGGGGCTCTGTGCTGTGTCCCTGCTGGGAAGGGGAGCCTGGGGCAGCACTGGGAGCTGTGCCTGGGGCAGCAGAGAGCAGAGGGCTCTCCCTGTCCCCTGCCCCGGCCTGGGCTGCTCCTGCCCTGCCCAGCCATCCCTGTTTGCCATCTGTCTGTGCCATCTGCTGCTGCTGGCACGGCTGCAGGGCTGGCCAGGGGAGCAGAGCTCGTCCCAGTGCTGCTGGAGCAGTTTGCAGCTCCCAGGTTCCCCTCTCAGGCTGATCCCGTTTGTGGCTCGTTCTCCAGGAGAACAGGCAGTGAACGTGTCAGGGCTTTGCTGGTTCCATGCCCAGGGAGGCCCTTTTCCCTCTGGGCTGCTGCCTGCCTCGTGCTCAGGCTGCTGCAGCTTGTTCTGCTTTCCTCTCTGTTGTTTCCATTTCATGTGGCCACCAGACCCAGAGAAAGGGATTCGATGTTTTAATGTCATTCTTTCACCAGCCAGAAGCGAACATCTGCTTCCTAAAATTCACCAACGCCTTGCTTTTGATGAGGGCATAGAAAGAAATAAAGCACCTTGATTTTCCCTGCAAACTGAAGGAGACAAACTGCAGGAGCAGGCTGGAGCTCAGTGCCCTGAGCAGATCCCAGCCATGCAGGGTCCTGGGGCTCCAGGGCAGGGCCACAGCTCAATTCCCACTGGATTTAGTGACAACTCTGGGCTAAAGTCATGAATGAGGGGGCTGCCCTTGTTTTACTCCCCAAAAGCATCTCTTCTTTTTTTTCCATTTCCTTTTATCTGTCTTAAGTACTATTTGGAATATGTTGGAGGGAGATTCCTAAGAAACCCTGCTGGAAGCAGAGAGGGCACTGCAGCTCACGTGCCTTGACCTCAATATTGGCGCTGCCTCTTGCCACAGTAAAGGGAATAATGTTTGGCTAATCAGCCAGGGAACCTTCAGCTGCACCAAAAGTGGATGTGCCCCTGAGTTCAAGGGTGTGTGGCACACTTTGGATTAGCAGGGTTTTGTCTGCAGAGCTGTTGGTCACATGAGTTATAAACTGAAGCACTCATTTTACAGGAAAAAAAGCATTTTTCAAATTGTTCTTCAACCCCAGCTGTGACTTCAGATCAAAATACAGGTGTGAAGTGCAGGTGTGCCGTGGTTTCACACCTCTGGACACAGGTAGCAGCTGATGTTCCTGCTTTTCTGACAGTGGGAATATCCCAGCAGCCTGTGACTCCAGAGGGGCCTGAAGTGTTTGGCTTTTTGTAGGATCAGGCCCCAGATCCACAGTTATTTGTCTTGGTACTTGGTGTCACTCTTGGGACAGAATTTTCTTTGCCACAGTCCCATGGGGGGGATTTAGGAAATCATTAGATGAACTGAATTCATTCATCTTAAGTCAGTCTTAATATAGCCTGATTGTGTTTGATGTAATTATGCTGAAAGGATAAAAGTTGCATTTTATTTGCATAATTGCAGTAGACAGAGAAGTGCACATGAAAGAGGAATCACTCCGTGGCAGGAACACGCTCCAGTGCCAGCCCAGCCAGGTACAGGAGGCTTGGAGAGGCTTCCAGAGTGTGAAAAACGAGGTTCACATCATTTTATAGAATTTAAAAGTTTAATAAAAAACCCAATTAGGAGATAAAAATAAAGCATACAGATACGGCCGGGTGTCTCTGCATTCAGCCAAGAGAGCACACCTTACTAACAAAGGATTGTCCCTTAAAAACAGAACCCTGCTACATATCCATAAATTCTCATACATATTCAGACATTCTTCTCAGGATCTTTGGTGTTCTTCTGTTTAGTTTTCTCTTGCCCCCTTCCCAAGAGATCAATCTTCTTGGTGCCATTGAGATTTACATTCCCCGATATCAGAAATGCAATAAATTCCTCCCCCAGAGCTCTGGGCACTGCTGTCTTCATCTGGATAAGAGAGTTTACAAAAGAAAAAAAAAAATCTCTAGCTATCTTTTTCAGTCTTTGGGTTACACAAACAAAAGCAGTTTTTGTTTTAATGCTATGTCATAGCTTGACATACATGTATTATACCACTATTCCTAAGTTTCATCAATAACAGAAATAAAGGAAACTATATTAATACAACAAAATTTTCCATTCTTATACACATAACATTCATTTTAATATTTGTGAATAGCCAACAATATACTATGTGTCTATAACAAGAGGAAGAAGAGGAGATTGTGTTTATTTCTGTTTGTATTTATTTCTGTTTGTGTTTATTTCTGTTTGTCCCTGGAGCAGCTGTGGCAGCAGGATGTTGTGCCCTGCCCTTGGTGCTCGGAGCTGTCCCAGGCTGGGCTGTGCCAGCCCCTCCTGACACCAGGGGAGGCTCCCAAGCCTCATCCCGAGCCCAGGAATTGTTTTCCCGTGCAGAACTGGTCAGGCTGGCCCTGGGAGCAGTGCTTGCAGTGGTGCCCTGGGCTTCCTCTCACCTTTGTGTCTGCATGTTCCTTTCCCAGGTGTGTGTGCTCGGACAGCAGCTCCAGGGAGCTGGAACCACGGAGGGGAGCAGCTGGAGGAGAAACACAGAGGATCATACAGAGATTCGATCTGAATTATTTAGAAAGTCTGGCAAAAGCTTTGCTGATGTGGAGAAAAACAGTCTTTACTGTCTGAGCTCCGAATTGATGCAGCTGAACAGTGGGATTCAAATAGATTTCAGATTAATGATTCAATTCCAGAGGCTGTGGATGAGGCTGGAGTTTGTGAAGCTCTGGGCAAGAAGGTTGAGGCATAGCTCAAATCCAGCACAGGGATGAGCCTATACATTTTAAAATATAAAAACTGCAAGCCCTGCAAACCAACAAAACTGTCCCTGGAATTTCCAGTTATTTGTCTTCCAAAGAGATGGTGAATCCTGTTTTGTTTTCATTCCCAGCAAGAGCTGCTTTGCTCCTTTTTTGTTTGGGCAGTATGAATTTGGGATGAAACAATGAAAGAGTGAGAATGAAAACCCCTCCCTGTTCAGGGGCTCTGAAGTGTTTTACCCTCACAGCCCCAGTGTGGCACAGGGAAGGAGCTCAGGGTTCATTTTTCCCTGGAATATTCCCTGGGAATGAAGAGCTGCCCACAGCCCTGCCTGTCCCTCAAGGGAGCAGGAGGCCAGTGTATAATGCATAATAATACTTGTAAAATACTTCCCTTTCTTTGTTTCTGTTTGTTTCCAGCCTGGTGCAGGGGCTTTTCCAGCTCTCTGTTGTTCTCCAGCTTTCTCTGTGTCCCTGGGGTGTGAGCCATGTGCTTTGAGAGGAGCTGGCATGGAAGGACGTAGCTCTGGGGGGCTGGAGCAGAGCCCAGCAGCCCCAAAACCCAGAGGGGAAAAGGCACAAGAGGTGTAGCTGGGACCATCAGCCCCAGATCTGCTGACTCTCCCCACTACCTGCCCCAAATCCTGCTCTCCTCCCCCTGAGCTGTTTTCCTTGCTGCTCCCTGAAGGGTTCCAGCTCTGGGTCTGTCCCTCCTGTCCCCAGGACACGGGGCTGTGGCACCAGGGCTGCAGGTAAATGTCTGCTCCAGAATGGGGTGTGCTGGGGCCAGAGCCCCCAGAGGGATCCTGCTGGAAATGCTGGAGAGCAGGGCCCAGGGAATTGTACATTCCCTGTGGAATTGCAGGGCTGGAGGCAGAACTGGGGTCTCACAAG